TATTTATAGAAAGATCTATAAAATATACCTATATGATATTTTTTATTTTTGAGGAAGAAGTCAGGTTAGAGATTAAGTTAAAATTATACAAGGTGAGTTTTTTCGATGTTTAGTGAAGGCATCTGGGAATGTAGCAGAGATACAAAAAAGCTTAAATGGGGAAAGATGTGCAGTTTTATGATCCTTATTAAAGGTTACTTTTGTTTCTTAAATAAACGTCATGGCTGACTAGATATTTGGAAAAAATCCTAATTCGGCCAATTCTTAAAAAAATCTACGTCAGCGAGCAATTTAAAAGTTAAAAACAGTTACAGTTTTCCCATTTTTCAAAATAACAATTCCGAATATTATATCGTTGGAAAGCATAAAAAAGACAATTTTTTCTAGGCCGTAGCTAACTATAGTTTACATTTAAAAGACTTTTTATGCTATAACTTGAAAACGAAAGTGTACATGAACAATTTGATCACCCTATTTGAAAACCTGAAACTTTGTAATTTAATTTTTTTTTGTAAAATAAATAACAACAGAGCTACACGCATCTGAAAGCATGGCCGAATTCGGATTTTTCCAAATATCTAGTTAGCCTTGACGTTTTTTCAAAAAATAATAGTAACATTTAATAAGGATCATAAAACTGCACCTCCTCTCTCCATCCATCTCCATCTCTCCTCATTTAAGCTTTTTATATCTCTGCTACTTTCCCAGATCCCTACACTAAACATCGAAAAAAACTCACCCTGTATACTTTTTTACTTCTGTCACCAACACATAAAGAAAAAAATATGAAACATTTTCTTATAAATATTATTAAGCACGCTCTTCACATATAAATTTGTCCTTGAATTAGCTAATTGGAAAAGAATTGCAATTATACGTTTAACTAATGGCGTCATTTGTTGTATAACATGTCAAGATGCAACTGCAACAGACTTTAAAAAAAAATTACATTAATAATGTACTATTGTATAATGTTTTTTGTTAATAAAATAAAAAATATTAATATCATTTGTTCTTCGATCTGAATACAACGCTTCAAAGTGTTGTTGTAACGGACCGTAAAAAGTAAAAAAAAAGTGTCCTTAACCGCCTTATTATAAAATACCTTATTATTTTTATTAATAAAATAGGACTAACTGCATTTGGTCTAAGTAAATAATCATTACAACAAAAGGCATAAGCGATATACAGGGTGATTCATTAATAATTGTACATACGCTAACTGGACAATCCTGGGCTGAAAATATGTGAATTGACACATAACGCTTAGATAAAATATGGCTCCTTACGGAGTTGCAGGGTATTTTATTTAAAAAATTTTAAATAATTTCTGTCCATTACTAAAACTATACTCAAATGTAAAACCTAATGCAATGCAATCCCATGACAGAAGGCACCGACTTGAATAATAATAATATGACAAATAAACTACATAATAAAATAATAATGATTGTGCTGCCTATGTTTAACTTTAAAAATCTCAAGAAATAATGACTTTACCGCTATGAAGGATAGTAAGTTAATTGCATAGAAGGTATTGAAGAATTGAAAAATTATACCAAAATAAAAATTCCGCCAGTGGCGTAGAAGTTAGGAATGGGAAACTGCCCATCTATGAAGGTCACCTGTCTTTGTCATTTCTACTGCGAACTCTCTTGATCCACACATCTCGCAGACAAAATGAGNGGATGTTTCTGGCATACCTTGTTCCACCAGTATTTAATTATTTTATAATGAGTAACGTATAAATTGTTTTGAGACTGTAATGACTTCATTTGCTGCTTCTTGAAAGATGCATCGATGAGTTATACTTCTATTCGTCTGAGTAGTATTTCAGTATTCAATAATTTTTAATATAACTTAGTTGTTACCTTCATTGTTTCATGTTTGTTTCAAGTAACACTTACAGTCGTTCCTATACAAATAACTAGGCAATATAAGTAATTTTTATGGAATATATCATGAATTTGTTAATTCCTCCTTCTTCTTTGACAAAAAAAAACACTAACATTGCAACGTTTGCCTGTATGTATGTATGGGTACAGAATTTGTACTTCTACTAAATCTGTAGCATTCAGTGAAAGACAAACTATTATGTTCCAGTTGGCCATGTCGGATACAACACCCAGAATCAGAACACCATGGGCCAACATAACCAACCAAGTGCCCCTCCCAGCGGGAACCTGTACCCAACATTGAACAGAGGTGAAACTACACCGAGACCTAACATACATCAACAACAATCGGGTCAGGGTGGAGGTTATCAGGGAGGACGCGTAGGATCAGGATATCCAGGTCAAGGTGGACAACAGGGTGGTTATCCCGGAGGATACCCTCAACAGCAAGGTGGTTATCCTCAACAAGGCGGATACCCACAACAAGGCGGATACCCACAACAAGGCGGATATCCACAAGGCGGATACCCACAAGGTTATTATCCAGGTTACTACCCACAGGGTTATCCACAAGGTAGTCTTTTATTTTTTTTTATTCTTTGATCCTTCAAGATTACTGGAATTCAGCGCTGCATGTTTTGTATTTCGCCTACAATAGCTAACGGTAAAATGAGTCGCGTGGACAAAAAGAGTTTTTTTATTATTACAAAATAGATTAGCAAAAAAATCCTTAAATAGTATTTTTAACAAATTCACATGAACTGTTTATACTTTATTGTATGCCAACTTAATAAAAAAGCCTCCAAAACGGCTCGTATTTCAAACAAAATGTAAGATACCGGTAAGAAAAAAAGTGGAACTGTTTGCTTGAATCAAATTTATGATGAATGATTTATAAACATTTTTATAATTGGCACAAGATTTGCAATATCAATGATGTTCATAAATTATCTTTATACTCACGAATAACTTTACATGCTTTTTGAAGCAAAAAGTTCGAAGAAACCTCCGCTTTTCATATATCAATGCTGCTAATTTGAGGAAAGTGATTTTCTTCATATATCAATGCTGCTAATTTGAGGAAAGTGATTTTCATCTGTTAATATCACAAAGCGAAGAAAACTAAACTGAAAAAGTTGTTTCCAGCGGCACCAATACAAAATTGCATCTCTGAGATAAAAAAAATATAAAAGCACTAGTCGGAATGAATGTAGACAAAATGGATATACGACGAATGAGCGAGTGAAGATTGTGAAAATTCATTACGAAAATAAACAGACCAATCACCTCACCAGTGTAAAATTCACACCACACTGTCACTCTTTGGGCATACAGTGGTCGTTCTCTAAATATGACAGTTTTGCTTGTTCACATACCCAATAAGATGGAAATGCACCTAGTGGATAGAGATGATTTTCTTACAAAATCACCGTCCACTTGTTGATTGGGTTTGGTTTCTGAGTTATGATTGAAATAACTCATTTAGAGGGGAAAAAATTGTTACCTGGACTTTTGTAAGTGGAATTTGAAAAGGGACTTATAATAAACGTAAAAAAATAAATTCGTGAGCAGGGGTGGCGGAGGGTTAATTTGAGGGGTTCAGAAAATTGTATCATTGGGATTTCTGGCGAAAGTTGACGCCAAACAAAAAAGTATTCAATACAAAAGTTGTCGATCATGCAAAAATGTACAACTTTTGTAGAAGTCACTTTTTAAGAGAACCTCAAAATTTCCGAAAAAATTGCGAAAAACGGTTTTTTTCTTATTTTTCGTTTTTTATTTCTTATTCCCGCAAAAATAATTTAATTTTAACGAAACTTGGTGAAAATATATACCTTTCTGTATCTTAAATAACCACAAATTTTTTTAGATTTATTTATTCACTATTCGACTTAGATGTTTATAGCAATACTGTAGATACAGAAATAAAGTTTTGTGTCAAACAATGAAACAATTTCTTTTGTATTTTTTTCCGTACAATTGAATGGTGTAATCAGTTCTTGAATTTTTTTTTT